TTTTACTGACAAAAAATGCAAATGAAAAGTAGTGGTTTCCTTATCTGTAGATTACTTTTGCACTCACACACACTCAGAGAATAAGCTAACTGGTGAGGAGATATCAGAGAGCTGAATGAGTTTCTGCAGCATCATGCTTCAGTGTTAAGAAAGAATGACTCTGCAGCCTGTCAACAGAGCTGCTTTTGCAGGGTTGCAACTGGCGTTGGCACCTTCACAGCAATGAAATGTAAAGGGGAAACATTAAAGTGGAAGTAACAGAGTTCAAACGAGGACTTGATATATGAACAACTGGCAAGAATTACTCATATTTCAAGAAGAATTGAAGCAGGAAGGGCAAAACAAGAGATCTCTCTGTGCAGAAATTGGCAAAGGAGAATAACCAAAAACTGAGAAAAGGGTGACAGAGCAAGAGATTCTGGAAGGTGTGGGAAGGCTCAAGGCCGAACAAACACCCCAGTGGATCGTGGGTAGGGAACGAGATGTGCAAATGTGAGGAGGTAAAGGCAAACACACCCCCCTGCAGATGGATGCGGATCCAGGGTGTGACCCAACTCACCCCCATTGTCCAACCCGGCTTTGCCATACAACACCACCGTTAACACCAGTACCGCCCCAGTGAGCACACACAGGCGTCACTGTTTATCCTGCATGCCAGGCCTTCCCTTGTGGAAACATTTCCCAGAAATAAAATAAAGCCATGGTAGGTTGGCAGCAGCCTCCAAATAAAACATGCATATCTAATTACAACGTGAATGCTGAAGACGAGACATGTTGCAATATAATTATATTGTTCTAATCAAGGTCATAGCTATGAAAGAATGCCGTGGAGCGAAGTGTAGGATGTGTAGCTGATGTTACTGAAATTAGCCAACATCCAAAAATCTTTAATTTGACTGCAGACTTTTCATAACATATTAATTGATTTTAGGGTTACCAATCTGTCCAAAAGTAATTTAATTTACATAAAGATTGCAAATAAAATAACATTGAATTCCAGTTTTTATAAGCTGCTTTATGTAACTATTGAATATCATCCATTCAGTGGTGATACGGTTTATTAAACCACATGCTCACAGTATGCTTTTCATTAAGCTTTGTTGTGAATCTCACCCAAAACATCACTGGGATAGCTTGAAACAATAATTCAATGACATTTAATCAAACCAGACTTGTCCGACAGGATAGTTAGCATGCCCTCAGTTAGCACCTCAGTTTCAACACCACTGGGTGCAGTTGTAATTTCGAAGGACCGGTTATCGCTAACATCCCCACTATGTCACCATCTGTAAGAAATAAATGTGATTTAAATGCCTGCGATGTTTTTTGTTATGCTTTAGGGATTGGTCCATTTTATAATATGGTTTTGAAGCCATCCACCTTAATCACAGGCTCCGACTGTGAGCTCAAGGGAGGATCCCCATTTGTGTGTGTGTGTGTGTGTGTGTGTGTGTGTGTGTGTGTGTGTGTGTGTGTGTGTGTGTGTGTGTGTGTGTGTGTGTGTGTGTGTGTGTGTGTGTGTGTGTGTGAGTACTGGTTAAGCAGCCAAGGCGGACTATATTTAGGTTAAACTGTGCTCACAGTCCCTCTGGGAACCTTCCAATGAAGTTTTTCTGAATCCAGGATGTGTAACCAATGTTTCCATCTATCTGAGTATTTTATTTTTATGGGAATTCTTAAGCACAGTCATATCTAAATAATTAGCTTTTTGTTCAATTGTATCTGTTAAATTACCTGAAACCAATAGATGTCACTCTAAGTCTAAGGTGAATCATTGGGAAAAATGGAATTGTAAATGCCGAATGTAAAAAGAACAATTTGCAACTCAAAAAATAAGACATGATGATATATACAATACAAAAATATAGTTTTATAATAATTTCTGGAGGTTCTAGTCAACAGTGAGTTTCCCCTTTTTCAGTCTGAGTGCTATGCTAAGCTATCCATCTGCCGGTTAAAACAGCTTTAAGGGAAATAACGAATAACAAAATAGAGCGATTGTACTGGGGTTCTCTTTGTGTAGTTGTTTGGTAAAGCTGTTTCTGATTTGGAACAGTAATAAGAAGAAGTTTCAAGAAGCTTAAGTGCTCTCTTCAAGGCAAAACCTTTTCTCAGTGTGTTCAGTTCAAGCTCAAGTATTCTACAATTGCACTTACCGGTACATTCTTTTGAACAAGTCAGGCAGCAAAGACTTAAGTGCGTCTTGATCTTGTTGTCTTACATTGTATTCTGAGATGAGTAGATGTTTGTGCTTAGCTTGTGATGTTACACCCATGAAAGCACATCATGTATTAGTTTGTAATAACAGTGCTCTCTTCAACAGAAGTATAAGTCCATTGGCAATGGTCGAATATAAGTACATTAAGGACTGTGCTTTTACAATTTTAATATATTTGATTTTCATTGTATGCTACTTTATACTTGTCGTACATTCTTCTCAACTACATTTATTTAAAAGCTTTCAGTTCTAGATAGTATATAATCTATTGTGTTGTTACAGTAAACTAAAAAAAGGAAAATGAGCTCCATCTCAACCCACTGTAACATTAAAGTACAGTTTACATTTGAATTAATCAATAATAATGGTCCAGATATATTATTATATTACAATGGCCTATATAGACAAACAATACATTCATTATTGATATTTGAGTACAACTTGCTGGTAATTTATTTTTACTTAAGTGAAATTTGGAATGCAGCATTTTTACTTGAAGTGTCGAGAAACACTGTGGACTCAGTGACATGATTTACATTTTAAATGTACGTAATTTGCAGAACAAAAGCAGATGGGTTACATTTTCAGTTTGATTGATGACAGATACCCACTGGCTATACTGTCTTTACTAAAACTTAACACAATCAAAAGATTTGAATTCTCATGTGTTTACACTTCTATCCCACATGCGGTTTAGAATTACTAAAAAGCTTCACATTTGAGAGGTTACTTCACTGATGATAAATGTGACATTTATCTCACACATAATGGGTGAACCCCCGCCAACATTCCACATTAATAATAACTATTTGCGTTTAATGTCATGGTGAGAGGGTAGTGTTGCCTGTTTGCTCTCTTGAGTGACATAAAGAAACTTGAAAATAGGAAATGATCATTAGGAAGTATAAAGCCACACCTAAATCTAAATAAACCTTTTTTGCTTTTAGGCTTGTGGCGCGTTAGTATAGACTTTCATTCATGTGACCGAGGGACTTTTACCTATCTGGTGTAGTGCTCTAAATGAAAGACATCCTGTATTTAGATCCGGTTTCTTTCTTTAGTACCAGCTACTCTGACACACACTTCATCATAAACGGATGCTCTGGGTTTCCCAGCTGTTGATTCTGTAGTGACAGTAAAATGTCTGCAAACAGGCCAGTGTTTGCTCTAGCTCCTGTCGTTACTCCCGCTGAGGTGAGAGATGACTCGGGCAAAGGACTAAAAGCTGTCAACGATAATGGTAGCCAGATAGCAAAAATGTAAATTCCTGTTTAAGGACAAATAGAAGTTTCAGGAAGAGAGCGTACTTGTGAACTTGTTTGATGTGTTTTTGAACAGTTTCTAACTGAGGCCTGTTTACTCAGGGGGAATACCTTTGTCTGATCATTGAAAGACTGCATGTCGACAGAATGCCACCTGCAGTTACTGTGATGGCATTGATTGCTACACAAAGTCTTTTAGTACCATAAAGTATGCTCTTATCATATGTATACATATCTTTCACCACAAGGCTTTTCATGTAGTGAACTGAAAATATCACCTATTGTGTTCAAAGTTGAGCAACAGTGTGGTCGCTGTCACCACATCTGCTTGTTTTTGTTGTGAAGTAAAGAACTACAAACTAGAATCTTGTGTGATGGATTTCTCTATATAGGCCAAGCAAACCACAGTTTCAAAACCATCCTTTATAGACGTATTTTACATCAAGTCAATGTTATTAAATGAAACTTTTAGAAATGATAACTGTTTTTTTTATCACATTCAAACAGAACATTTATCTTCACACTTGCTCAAATGAATCGTAAAAACGTCTCAAAGCTCCTCATTTAAAAAGAGCAAACATTGAACAATATATTTCACTTCCAAGTTTCCTGTTACATTAATATGAAGTTTTGTTTGCTTGCTGATAATAACACAATCTAGTGCTAATAATACTGTTTAATTTTACAGGATTTAAATAGGGTTAAAACCTCTCTCAGTGGAGAGGAAAAAGAAAGAAAATCCTTTGGCAGACAAAACAATTGATAAATATTTCATTCTTACAATAGATCTCTCCAGGAAATATAAAATAACCATTTCAGGGAAAGCCATCAGAGTGGTAAAGCTTGTTTTACGAGTCAATTAGACTTCCTCAAAGAAAATAATGAGGAAACTAGAATGTACAAGACAAAGAGCAGAGAACACGAGATGTCTCAAAGAGGCCAACTAACAGCATATTGGAACATAGAAACTGAGGTTTAAACCAATCTCAAAGAAAAAAGTTGTTTAACATACTTTGTCTTGCATAAGATCTCGAACCTCAATATGATAGTTTCTGTGAAAAACCAACCAACTTAAAGTGGGCTACTTTAGGGAATAGAAAATATGTAATGGATCCAGGAAACTCTAAATCAATGTCATAGCTCTATAATCAATACAGTGAAAGTAATAGCGTTCTAATTTGAACTGAGGACTGAACGTGTCTATGTGTGTAAAATCTGATGCAACTCTTTGAAATAAGCACATTGAGTATACACTGAAATCATAATTAACTCTATTAAACTATCATGTCTGGTTCATAACATACAATGGTGCCGAGAGTGTTGACTTGAAAACCGAAATTGACAGCAAGTATTGAGGGGAAATTACACTTTAAAACGAATTTGGGTTAATATGACTTTGAAAGCAGAGTGAAACTTTCAATGCAAATTTCATCAGCAAGGCGACCAATCACAGGCCGTAAACAAGTTGCGTCAGAGCCACAGGGAGCCTATCAGCTTTCACCACGACAGTAGAAAAAGACCGGAGGTGCAGCCCTTCTTGTTCAACAGTTGAGAATTGCCGGTGATCAGGCAAGCAGTGAAACCTCAAGGGTTCCACTGAATACAATAAGGATACTCGATTAATTTTGATTTCAGCACCCCCAGTAGGATATATCAACATGGTGGTGGTAACAGCAGGGACCGGAGTGTCCCACAAAGTGCTCCTGATCTCCGGCAAACAATGCAGCTCGGCTAGCGGCTCACAGGCAGGCTACAACCGGCCCATATCTGTCGTTTTACCGTCATGCTCCAGCCCGGCGTCGTCGGATTCAGAGTCCAACTCCTCCGCGGGGCCGCCCATACGAAAAAGACAGAGGCTCACACACTTGAGTCCAGAAGAAAAAGCACTTCGCAGGTTAGTCCTCAAAAATATCCCTTGATATATCATTATGTATGGGGTTAAAACCTTTATTTTTAAAGGGCAAACCCGGCCATTGTTCACGGTATTACCACAGGGACACGCCCAAAGATATTGATCCCTCTGATTTGATGTTTAAACCGCAGCACAAAGAAAGTAGGTCAATGCTGAATCTCCCAATATTAATATAAATAGATAATCTATGCAGTTTTAAATAGCACCATAATTTAGTTACATTTCATGTCGTTCATTTATCACCCTTGGACTTTGAACTAGCTTGTCAAAGTGCTATCTGAGACATTTGACTGTCCGCAGACCCGCCCGTCACTGAGCAGGATACTGATATCCTGGTATGTCTGCGTGGCATCAACATGGCCGGGGATTGCGCAGTACTGTGAACTCAAGTCATGTCAGGAGGCTTAGTCAGCATCATGGAAAGAATGTGTGCTAAATTCCTGTTTTTTTCCCCCCCTCCTCGTCAATATTTTTTCCAGGAAACTCAAGAACAGAGTCGCAGCCCAGACAGCCAGAGACAGGAAAAAGGCCAAAATGGGAGACCTCGAACAGCAAGTCATAGAGTTGGAGCTGGAGGTAAAAAAAAACACATTTTAAAACGGGATGTAGCTATGAATTCCTCTTTTATATTTGCCAACAGTCAAACATATGTCTTGAGCATAACGCCATTGTTGAGATTTTTTTATTTTTTATTATGCCATTTCACAACACAATGGCATTTCCAGCCATAAATGTATAACATCCTATAATGTTTTTAGTGTTGCAAAAGAAAAACTAAACTACATTGCAAAACCACACTGCAGTTACATATCTAGTGTTGGTTTGTTCACTTCATGCATCACTTCCCCATAACCAGTTGCAAGTTTCAAGTTCAAACATCTGTTTGTTCTCTCCCCGCAGAATCAGAAACTTCACATTGAAAACAGGCTACTTCGGGAAAAATCAAGCGGCCTTTTGACAGAAAATATTGAACTGAGACAGAGACTTGGGTTGGATACCCTCGACTCAAAAGAGGAGGTATGATTATGATGCCATTTGGTTGTAATGGAGGGGAAGTAGGGTTGGTTTTATAATGATTGTGTTTTCAGTGGAGTTACCCTAATTCACACTTTTTCATTCGTTTTCATAACAGGTTCAGAGTTTGTTATCCATCGGGAATGACGCAGGTTTAGGGATCGGGTCTTCTGAGTCCGCAGCACTCAGGCTATGTGTGCCTCCGCAGCAGGTGCAGGCCCAGCAGTCCCTAAATCTGAAGACTTCTCAATGGATTCAGATGATTCTGACTGTTCAGACGATGAGGTAAGTCTCTCATATGGATGTCTCCTTTTATAATGAAAAGTCATGTCTTGAGATTTAAATCCTGTCTCTAAGAAATCCACTAGTCAGGTCATAGGCAACTAGGCTAATCTCCTATCTTTTCTCCATTCTCCCCCCTCACTAGTCTGATTTGCTCATGGGCATTCTGGACATCCTTGACCCAGAGCTTTTCCTCAAGTCTTGTGAGCAGGAGTGCCAGGAGCCGGAGGAGCTGCTGGTCGGAGGGGGGAACCCAGTACCTCCCGCCACACCTGCGACTCTGGGGGCCTCACCAGTTAAGCTGGAGGCCCTTAATGAACTGATCCACTTTGACCACATTTACACGAAGCCCGTGGAGGAGGTGAGCATCGGGCAGTGCAGCGACCCAGAGAGCGACACAGAGAATATCGACGAGGCTATCTTATCCGTTATCGACGTGGTGGTGCTCGAGGAGGAGACCGTCTGCGTTAAAGACGAGCCGGAGGAAGTGGTCATCCCCAGCTGTGACAGTCACAGTCAGGTGGATGACTTTTTCTCTGAAACCCCCTCCCCTGCCCTCAGCGGCCTGGATAAGGAAGCTTGTCTTGCGGACACCTACAGTGACTCCGGATACGAAGGGTCCCCTTCCCCTTTCAGCGACATGTCCTCTCCCCTGTGCTCAGAGAGCACCTGGGAAGACATGTTTGCTAACGAACTCTTCCCCCAGCTTATCAGTGTCTGAATCAACCATACAGCCCAATAATTTATAATATATTTACATTTAAGCGCTAATGTGTAGTGTTAATAACAATGGAGAAGCACACAAAGCTTCAGAGTACCGTATAGAACACAGCTGAATCCACTCATGTATAGGCTAAAGTTAAGCACATAATCTCCTTTATATTACAGCAGGTCTGTACCAGTGGCGATGCTGCATTGACTTGTGGGAGATGGAGTTCATGACAGCTAATTTTGGCATCCTTTAATTACTGCAGAGAATTCAAAATGGATTTCAAATCTCTCGCTCACAGTTCATGACACGTAGGTAGAATCAAGTATTTCTGAAAATTATTAGGGGGATGGGGACCGATCATTTAAATATAACCTTTTTATTTATTTGTGTATTCTGCTTCGGGGTCATTGTATGTAAAACGCTTTCTTCTAATTTGTCGACGCTCTCTCTATGTAGCCTACTGCATTAAAAAACTTTTTGCATTGCATCTCGTCTCTTGTTTAAGTCATTGTAACTGCTTATACAGGGAAGAAAGAACTGCAACAATCAGATTTGAGAGAATAATTAACTACAGTATTTAGTTCCCAAATGAATATGCACATCAGGAAAGCAGAATGTTAAAATAAGGGATAGTCAACACAGGTAATGTTTAAAACAATACATTTTAGGATTTTCTTTTTGACTACAGAAGGTACAGAAGAGCACTGGAAATGGGGAGAAGGGTGGATATGCAACAAAAGGTTGAGCTTTAATATATGGGAAGGCCTGCTCTACCAGGTTAACTTAGGCAGGGTGACAGTGCTGCCATGAAATGTACTGCTATAATGGAATCTTGTTGAAGTAGTGGATAGATCAATCAACAGGCTGTTAGAAGTAGTTTGCAATTAAGGCAATTTATCTAGCAGAATGTTTTGAAGACTTGCTGGTTCCAGCATCTCAAATATATTGCCTTTTCCAGCTTTATATCGTAATCCAAACATCTTGGACATTTTGGAATGATGGTTGCACAGAACTAACTAATTAAAATGTCACGTTGACCTCAGCAAAACACAACATTTTGCAATCGACTAGACTAAGCAATTCATTATAAAAACGAATTGAAGGATTAATCAACACTCAAAACAACGGAAACCTGTTCAAACCATTAAGACATCTTGTGTTGTCTTTACATTTAAATCCCATCACTAATGTTATTACCTCCAAGGTAGGGATATCAGGAGTTTTAATTATGCAAATGAGTGTTAATCAGAAAGTAGAATGTTAACTGTGCTCTTGGTTCAGTATGAAGGGTCATAAGGTTAGGGCATTAGGTATTTGTTTCACCAAACAGGTTTATCAAACTAAAACTCTGTCCAATCCACAACTGTGAAATAATCTAACACGTGTGCAGACACACTGTTTATATATCTTATCTCTCTTGTGCCTGCACCACAACCTTGCTTTTCTGAGAAGCAGGCCTGCTTGTGTTACATAACACTTCTAATGTAACTGGGAGTTTCCTGGGAAGCCAACCTGAGACCGTTTTAGTTTAGCTTCCCGTCAGAAAAAGGTCAGTGTTTTGTCTCAGGTATTGTTGGTGTTTTGGCCTGGTATGAAGAGAAAAGACTGAGTGGGGAACACACCTTCCCCCTCAGGCCGTTATTCTAATCACAATGAGGTTTCATTCTTCAAGCTGTGATTGGTACGACCCACCCCTTTGAATGAGATCCCCTGGAGTCCCTATGTTGATTAGATCAGCTTTACAGATGCAACACGAATGAAATTGATCTGAACTCTGCAGGGTCTGTCTCTGTTAGCTTTAGCTCCTGTAAACTGATCACAAAGCTTTGCATAAGTGATGTCATCCATTATGTCTCACAACTACCCTCGTACATGACAGCATATTATCTGGAAGAGGTGGAAGGGGAAGAACAATTGGCAACTCAGCTATTTCATTGTAAATTGAACTCCACTTGTGGTAGGTTGACAGAAACCACAGCTGCATTTGACGTAGACGCACACTCAGTGAGCCCGAAAGAGTGTGGTGAGAAATGTACCATTTCCTGTCTCGTAGGTGGGAACCACAGCAAAGACTAGATCAAACTTATAGCTGTGGAGCTGAAACTGAAACATATCTGCTGAGGCAGGTCTTTTGATTTCAGGACGTAGATTCTGGTTTATTTAGGGCAGTAGTCTCGTTTCTGTTTCTCCTTGGTGTTTGAGCAGTTTTGTTTAAAGCCATTTGTAGGGTGAAATTAGTGTTCACATGATCTCGTTAAAAAGAGATATCTGCACCATTTAAGGGTTTTCTGTAATAGATGGTAAAACACAGCATTTTTCCCTTTCAGTAAATTATACTTCCGGTTCTCTTGCTAATCTGCCAGTCCTGGTCCAATACTGAGATAAAGTACACAGTAAACCGAAGAACATTTTAGGATATGAAGGCATTGCTGGGTGCTGTTACAAAATAAAGATGTGTTTTTTTTTATATTGCCAAAGGACTTGAAGCTCAAAAGTGACACAGTGTTACCCAACAAACTCAACTATATCTGTTGAGATTAAAAAGTGTAATTTTGGATCTTGCCGTTTTCCACATTTAGCTTGTGTGACTGAAAACAAAGGTAAAGAATGTGAGTGAGGACATCACAGTTGAGGTCCGGAGCAAAAGGAGAAGAATTGAACTGGTTCTTACTAAAGGGGTAACAGGGGTACAAAAATGTTTCATAATGACCATGCAGATCTTTTGATATTACAGTTCTCTGGACAAAATCTGGAGAATAAGGTCTGCACATTGGACCTAGTGTGTCACACATGTAGTGCACAACAAGAGATTGTTTGTGTTAGAAGCGATCCCATTTACTGGAAATACTCCGTTTGGTTTGTGAAAGAATAACAAGTTGGTAGAGTGGGCAGGAGGCTTGGCATAACAACACATATCCAGTGTAATTTGGGCATAAACAACTGAATCTCTTGTCGTTCCTTTAATTTGACTCAGAATTTCACCGATGGACATTACAGAAAATAGTTCCCGAATCTTGTCTGCTCTCCAATACACATTTTGCTTGTATATTTGTGTAAAATACACCTTATCTTAGCCTTTAAACGTGTGTTTTCTTCTGGTTTTGCACCAGCCGCTATAGAAACATCAACACGCCTAAACTGGCTATGAATCGCTGTTCTCTTCACTCAGTCTGAATTGGATATTACCCAGACTTTGTACCAGGGAACTGGCAAGATAAAGTCTGCTATCTATCTGATCGCAATGATACGGTCATATGCATTCTCAGGTTGTACACCTTCTCTGGGTAATGTCTAGGTAATCTTAGGGTTAAAGTGCATGTGGGAAAGGGGATTTGTTGAACACAGTCTGGGGTTAAAAACATATTATTTTTGCCAAGGACTTGGTCAAGACAAACTGCAGTTCAGTGTGTCCCTCTAAACCAGTATGAAACCGAATGATGTTGAGGTTCATGCTTAAATTAGAACTGGATTTGTCGTGCTAATATGACACTGTCGTCACCGATGCACGGATTTGGATAAACCTTACTGCAGGCTTCGAGTTACTATGCTCAGCAGTATTATAAAGAGGATTGCTAAACCCACACTGGCAGCTGCCACTTATGTAAATACGGGTTTTACAGTTGGTGATTCCAAGCTATTCAGTTTAAACAGTGAGCTCAAAATGTAGGCTACCGTTAAACTGAGAGCGACACGGTGGGTTCTCCTTTGACACACAACAACAGAAACCCTTTTAAGTGTTGCACTAGCTTTACAACAAGGATTCTGAGAAAGAAAAGTACCACCTGATCAAACAGGATTCAAAGACACAAGTCAGGTGTAAAGCAAACAAGAGGTCAAGGCAGTCATGTGACATGTTTCTCATGTTAATGGTGTAGCTGGTTGGGGGGGGGGGGGGGGGGGGGTGGGTGGGTGGGTGGGTGAGTTGGGGTCTCTTGGCAGTTGTCCTGCCTCGAGGGCTGAGCAACTAGAGTCCCCTGACCCAACTGAGGAATGTAAATCAACTACCCCCTTTGGCTTTCTTTATTAAAAGGCTAAGAGTGGCTAATCACAAGCTGGAGCGAAAGGGGGTTATATCTTTGGTATTTAGGCCACTTTATTAATGATTCAGTTGGGGGAAATTGAGTCACTGACTGCGTCATTCCCAACAAACAACATCTGTCCATCCCTGTTGGAAGAACACGATTCCCCAGTCTGTTTAAAGGGCAAACTGATTATGTTACTATTCTAGGAATCATTGCTGGTTAATCCTGTTCCACCAGTTCAAAAAGGTGGGTTTCTATTATTATTATCCAGCTGGTTTTTCTGGATGTTTGTAAGGTATAACCATCACAATGATAGATTAACATGCAGTAAATTATTAGAACGAAAATAAGCCTTCAATCATCAGTCATTCATCTTCAATACCCTGCCCACTGCTGCTCTTTTGACATGCAAGATAATAACAATATCAACCTGACAGCCCTGCCCCTGCTTTGTTGTTGGGATCAAGGCAACCTTTCCTTAGTTGCATCACACCTTGAATGTGTGCGCAAACAAAAGCTCAGACGTATGTGATCATGACGCACACACAGCAGCATGCACTCACATACAGCAGACTCTTCACTGTGCTCAGTCAAGGTGGTTTGCGCTCAAACTGTGAGAGAGATCACTATCCTCAGTTACCATTGGCAACAAAGGACGGTCAGTGGAGTGTGCTAATGCCGTCTGATCCATGGCACTGAGCCAAAGCTGACTGAGAACAGTAAGGCTTCTTATGGGAGTCCGATGGGACCCTGGAAGTAAAGAACATGCAGTTCTACAAGTTGTTGTAGAACTGTTTAAAGAGCCCCTCCACACATGTTTAAAGACCTTAAACATACTAAGATAATATGTTGTTTTGCCAAATGTTCTTAAAACTACATCTACTCTTTCTTCCTAATTGAAAAGTCAAAAATCTGAATATGCAAATATTTTAAAATTCAAAAGTTTAACAACTACTCAACAAAATGCCTCCTACTTCACTGTACACTGATAACGTTGACTTTGATTAAATGTGTTATGTCAACAGATTTCACATAGCCTAACTGTATTAGGTTAGTTGAAAGCAATAATATTAAGTTGAACATACCATTTTTTATTTAAACTGCTTTCCACTTCCACCACCCAATACGGTTATGTTAAATCTGTTGACATAATACATTTAATTAAAGTCAACGTATCATTTTTGCAGTTTCATTAATTCTCTGTGTTTGTTCCATGGAGGTAACTTACTTGTGTTAGTAAGTTACCTTTTGCATCATAATTAGTTCCAACTAGTTTTACACATCTTAAACTCAAATACAAGGTTAGTACAAAGGAACTCTCCTCCTTCAGAAGATTAATGTGAAGTGCCTTATAGTGTCAAGAAAGTAAAGGTCAAACATCTGAATAGAGTAACAATAAGCAAAACACATTTTTGAATGGAAATACAAAATTATTCCACTTTTTACAAATAATCTTTTATCTTCA